CACGACTTCCAGGGTGGGTGAGACGAGATGGCCTTTCAAGAGCCGAACAAGTCGGCCCTATCCCAGCTAGTCGTCTCAGGGGGATGAATCCGAGCCTTCCTTTACCTCAAATGACCGCTGCCAACATATGATCTCGCCAGGACAATTGCGAGAAATAAAAAAGCAAGACAGAAAAAAATAGAATTTTTGAACGCGTATGATTTACAAAACGGACAATGGAACTCTTCGAACGACAACGAACTAGGTCGGGCGGAGAGGACCGGTCGTAAAAATATTTCTGATATATGATTAGGATTCTACGTGCAAAAAACAGTAACAGTTAAGGCACTTCAACTAAACAGAATATGACCAAATTTATTGCATTTTTGAGATTTTAGGCTAAATAGCTTTATTTAAAACAGTAACCACAGAGTAAAACACAGATAGTACTTCGATGTGTATAGAAGAGAAAGAAAATGGTGTCAAAGCGAAGAACAACGAATCTTTTTTGAACGTCTAAAAACCGAACTTTCTTCGAAAATAGCTGGTTTTCCTCAACTAAACCACCTGATTCCTTCGAAACTTTGCATGACTTTATCTCATGCTTGGGTGTGTACATAAAAGAAAATTAGAATGAACGAGTGTTTACAACGAACCGCTGAATGGGGTGTAATATTCCCAATATAGATATACTTTTATAAATTTAAAATTTTCAGGTTTCAGCAGTGATTACTGGTTTTGAACAATTTTTAAGCGTAACACCGTTAATTACCGCCTTATTCCCTGGTAAGAAAAGTAAATTGGATTATCAAAATTCAAGTTTTGAGGAAATCAATTTTTTGCCGCCTTTGGCCCATTTGCATTGGGGGTGGATCGGGGGGTTCACTCTTACAATTCATTTCGAGAAATGTGGTTGTAAAATCCATCAACCTGATGATGAGCTATAAACTTGAAATCCGGAAAATAAGAAAACAACTCACTGTGAGTAGGAATTATCTTTTTATAAAGATTGAATTACATACTCACTTCACCATTTATCATTTCTATAAAGGTCTTTTTTGACAATCGTAAGAAAGGCATAACATTTGCATAGATACGAATGTTGCTAGTAACTTTAAAATTCACACAAACATACTGAAACTATTTTTGCGTGAAACAATTTAAACGATCGAGACATGAAAAATACGATTTATTGTTTACACCTATGTAGTTAATCTTAATAAAACACATAGATACATTTTTTATTTATCTTCTAATAAAAATGCTTAACGTATAAATCTTTAAATAATATTTATTAAACGTTCTGTACCTTACCTTCCTTACCCCTTATTACCTTACCTTGAAATACTTTCTAACCGACCGCTGCTTCAGAGTGATGTCGGGCAACGAGCTCTCGGAAAACAGAAAAATACAAACCGCCGTCCCACAAGTGAGCATACTTGGACCATCCTTGTTATTTATACTTCTGCCCTACATACTCTCTAATACCGTCATCCCCCCTACGTGAACCCATTTTTCCTTCGACTAGAATCCTACACAAGAATAACTTGAGATTATCGAAGATTGTTGTAAAAGTGAAGGACAATGCTGAATGAAGAAAAATGTACTCAGTGCACGTTCACATTAAAAAAACACCCTTGCCTTCCACTGTACATCAACAACAAAGAGATAACTACTTTCATTCAAGTCAAATACTTAGGTATACGAAGAAACATGCAAATCACACAAGACCTAAATAGGCAACAACTCAACTGAAGACTTGGACAACTACAAAGAACTAGGAACGAATTCTGACATGGCCGTCAAAACTAAACTTACCTTATAAAACACTTAACTATGACCAGTTTGAATATCTGGGGTGGAATTGTTTGTGTTCCGCCAAGCCCCCCAACATTCACCGCATCCAACATTGTAATGAAAAGTCCTCAGACGAAAATACAAAGCTGCTTACTACATTATTAACGCCAATATCCACAACGACCTCAACATTTGTTTAGTCAGTGAACTCGTTTCCCGATCTCAGAATTTTACACCAACCTCTCGATCCATCCTCCTGTCCTCTTTGCGCATACCTATCTCGAGAACCCCTACTTCGTCTTAAACGACGGTTTTCGAGACCTCCTTGCCCCTGAATCCCACTGACTGCCAGCATTGGCTGGTTTCTAATGCCATGTGTCGTCCGGGGTGCAGCGCTGTCATTAGGATTAGTGCTGTGGCCTTGTGAAAGAACTTTTTGCCATAACATTGTTATGAGTACGGATATTTACAAATAACGTAATAAAAAAGTATTGTTCTTTTATAGTTTTTATTTTAAACACTAAGAGGAACAAAACAAACGTATAAAATAAAACAAGGAAATTTGGGGATTTTAGGTATAGAAACAGACGGATTTGACGAAAAGAAACATTTATTTATCTCCTAAAAAAGAAAATAACATTTGATCTGTATGAAGATTTATTCTTACAACTAGGTAGACAATTTTTTTTTATTCCACTTATAAATTTAAACAATGTGGAAGTTGTCGAGCCGCAAGACTCCGCCCCTTGGCCTTCATCCTTGACTTACAATTTATATGTACTTCTAAGGGCCAACCTCTCACTGTTGCTAAGTGATTGTCATCAGGCAAACGGGAGGGTGCAAATCCCTAAACCCATGCTAGCCTACTCGATTTTGGGGGCTTGTAAGACAGCATATTGCTTCTAACAGCGACGTGTTTACATTTTGTTATCGAGTCGTTTTTTTTTCTAATGTATCTTTTTTTTTAACAGAGACGCAGTGAGAAGAGATAGATAAAAGCAGACTCGAGCCGGGTTGACATTTTGAACTTGCCGATGACGGCTGCTCTGTTCTATTGAACAGCTGAAGCAGATTTTCGTGGAGTTGTTAAGAAGACTATTCTTCAGGGCGCAATGAGAATGGGGGATTATTTGAACAAAGAAGCAACCCCTCAGAGAGTGGGGTTTGTTTCACGCTCTTTACCTCCCTCACACTAATTCCCGATTAACTCCGTTCATTCTGGAAGGTTCAAAAGGTCAACCAGCTTCTCTATAAGACAGCTTTTTTTATTTCGTGTATTTACATTCAATAAATCTTTTACTTTTAATCTCCATTATTACAATTAGTTGCTTTAAAATCCAGTGCAAATTACAAGGACACTGAGAAAGAGAAATATAACATTTGTTAAAAAACGACAATTCATAAATATGAGAAATTATTAACTTTCGGAAAAGAATACATCTAAATTTTTTAAAAAATTCATTAAAATTGTCTAGCATAATAAATTACGTACACTCTCAAAAATGTAGAATATTATGGAATGTTTATTGAATATAATGAAAAGAAAACAACATAAATTGTTTAAATCGGTTAGAAACTATTGAATTAATTTTCGTTCTTATGGCTTGCCTCATTAAGACTTTAATTTCCGGAAGATATTAGTAAAGAAATAATTGTTGAGGTTTTATTTACAATATCGATCTATCTTCTTGGGTTTTTATGATTTTCATTTTTCAATTGGGAATTAATTCAAGTGAGCCCACGTACTACAAATACATACCAAAAGACAACTCTTGTAGATATACTTACGACATAAAAAATTTACAGTACACATAAAAATTTTAGTAGAAAAGAAAAGTTTTACAAACACGGCGAAGCCAGCCAGATCGTAATATTTTAAAAACTAGATAAGTAAAATTAACTATTTTTCGTTGGAATGTATCACTTAGGTACATTGATTGGAGATTTAAAATTACAAATTATTTCCCATTTACAACTAATACTATCGTTTTTTATGTATATTTACAAACTACACGCAGTGGAAAATTTATTTTGAATTGAAAATTTTTAAAACTCAGATATGCAAAGTCTCTTCCACCCACCTCTCCTAATAACTAACTACATACTAATGATTATATACAAGTTTGCTTTTTTTAATTTTTACAATTTTTCTTCGGTAACAACGAACAATCTGTTTATAAAAATGATGATATTAATATATTATTTAGAAAAAAAGTGTATCAATTTGGTCGAATTTTCTTTTATAGTTTTATAAAAGCTTTAACAGCTCCACAAAAGTTAAACTTTAGTCTAAATAAAAGAACACTTACGTAGAGCTTTTTTACAGAAAGATAAGTCTACAAAAATTTTTTTTATCATCGTATATAATTTGATTTAGATATAGACTCGTAAATAACACCATTCAAGATAAAAATAGGATTCCATTGTTTTCCAATTTTTACTTTAAACATCTACTATCCGCATAGGAAGAACCAGATTTTAAAGTAAAAGTAGTTACAAGAAACTAGATATATTTAGATACATGAATACTTAAATATTTAGCCCTGGTATTTAATCGAGCTCACCGTTTAGAAGAAATTATAACTAAATTACGACATTGGAAGAAATGTACATTTGAATGATTTATTTTAAGAATTCGTCGACTGGCAAAAATTTACATAGCCAGAGCCAGTTCTTTTGAGCAGATTTAATTCAAAAACACTTCTTTCATATCTCACTGCTAACACACTTCAATAAATATATAAGTGTAAATATAAATATATAATATATATATTTAAACGTCTCTTCATTTTTTTAAAACAAATTTAGAATTGGCTTTTGTCTGAGATTGGATATAATTCCTTTCGCGTAATCCCTGTAAGTCCGTAGCGCACTTCAACTCACTTTAAGTACTCTACCGTGTGCCTCTTCTTTTAATTTTGTTATCCGATTAGAAATAAAAGATTTTTCATTAAAAAAAAGGTGTGCGTATGTACATCGTATAACGTGATATTAAGGAGGATCGGGTTTGGGGTTCGGTGCAAGGTTAAAGGGGTGTGGGACACATTCATACATTCGGGCCACCGTACGGCACCCAACTATATCACCACAAGAAAGACACTGGAGTGAGTGAGTCTTAATTCCTGTTCAAGATAGGCATACTTTTGACACAATTTAAAATTATTACAATTTATTACATTTCTTTTTAAAATCTAAAACAGAAAAAAAATGGAGACGCGGTGGAATACAAAATGAAGACTGTTATTTATTTATTTTATTCCTCTGTTTAAAACTGTTTCTCCTCCGCTTAAGCGATAACAGGAACGTAGCCGAGGTTCTTCCTCTGCAGAAAGAGATGTATCTCGGAGAACCGAGGCCTGTCCGCTTCGTTCCTCTTCCAGCATTCTGTCATCAAATCGTAAATCTCTCTCGGGCACGTATTAGGCCTGGAGAGCAGCCTCGCCTGCCCGTTGCCCTGATACCAGTGGTTGCAATTTTCAACTACTTGCTCGCTGGTCAGCTCGCCGAATGGCTTTTGACCGCAAACGACCAACATCTCCCACAATGTGACGCCAAACGACCAGACATCGCTCTTTGTCGTTGCCTTACCCTGAAAGATAATCACAAATTAATTCAACAACCAATTTCAGTTTTAATTTGTAAAAAATTATTGCTATACGTATCAACCCTTATAAAATCCTACTATAGAAACATTTTGATAATTTTTTGTAGTTTATTAGGTTTCGTGGTCCAATGGATCAAATAAATTCTTTTCAATTAGTTAACGTGTTGGTTGAGATTAAAAAGTCAGTGTCACAAGCGGGATCCGAACCCACGGCCTTCGGATAAATACGCCACTTCTCTACCACTTCAGCTATCGTGACTTCGATCCACTCGGACACTAACTTCTCATTTCAATTCCACCTTTTGAATTTTCCCGAGAATCAAATAGATTACACGACATTTGGAAAATGGCAAAAAAGAAGGAAAATTCAAAAAGGTGGGGTTGGGATGGGAAGTTGGTGTCTGAGTGGATCGAAGTCACGATAGCTCAAGTGGTAGAGCAGCGGCGTATTTAGCCGAAGGTCGTGGGTTCGAATCCCGCTCGTGACACTGACTNAAGTTGGTGTCCGAGTGGATCGAAGTCACAATGGCTCAGGTGGTAGAGCAGCGGCGTATTTAGCCGAAGGTCGTGGGTTCGAATCCCGCTCGTGACACTGACTTTTTTATCTCAACCAAAACCTTAATTAATTGAAAAGGTTTTTGATAAATATTTAATAAATTTCATACGTAATGTTTTCTTAAAACTCAATTGTATATTTTATCATGAACTAATATAATACTTTTTAAAAGGATAGTTCTAACTAATGAACTAATATTTTCAATATATTTGATTAATATATCTCAATTAATAATTATTAAATTCTTTGTTAAGTTTATATTCATCTACGATTGTAACACAATTCTGAGTAAAATAAGCCTCTAAACGAGCTGATTTATCCCGTTTTTCCCAAAGTTGTTGTTCTTGTAATCCGCGGTCAGGTTTTTTTTAAAACATGGATTTTAAAAAACTGGTTGTTTCGCCGTATTTTTTAAAAAATCCTGACCACATATATCTGACGACGTTGTCTTAAGCCAACTTTTTGATTAATGGTCGTTGGAGCTATTAATAATTTATTATTTGAGGGGAGATCCTGCCACATTGAGTCACTTTTCTGAAATAAATATCGATTAACTTAATTCAAATTTTATCTGCGTGTTCAGAAATAATTGGTAAATAGTTATGAGTAACAAAATAGTTCTTTGGTAAGTAGTGTTAATATGATAAAAAATAGAATTTTGGAAAAAATTATCAACTTTTCGAACTCGAATTTTGTTTTCTGATAAACTGTACATTATTGGTTAAATTCCTTAGCCAAAACTCTTCTAAAACATCATGTTTAATGATTCTAAATATTTATGATAAAAAATGCAACTTTATCCAATGTTTTGATATCCAATTTTACAAGGTAGAATCTCACTAGAAATTTTTTCGAGCTCATCGCATTTTCGTTTTAACTTGTGCGTCTTTCTTGACGTGGGTCGTGTACAAGGCAATTAAAAAGGCAATTTTGTTTACCCATATTTATTATTTTCACCCCAACCGCCAAACAATCCCGTAAATCAAACCCCAAAACCGTAAAAAAGTTAGAATGCGAAAGAAAAAGCTGAAAGAGGACAATCATATATACAAAAGCATTATTTTAATAATATGTATGATAAGCAATATGTATGTTATAATTGTTTAATTTTGTTTGTGTTCGTAATTTTATATGGGTTGGAAAAATATTTTCGATGCTCTATAATTTTGTTGAAAACACCTATAGATGCAGAAAAGCCTGCATGATTTTTACACATATACATTTTTTAAAAAGGTTTTGCTCATCTCCCTGTAAGGTGTGGTTTTATATTTTTGTATAAGTTGTTTAACTATATTAAGTGTAAGTAATGCATATTTGTACATGATTTAATATACTAAGTGTGAGTAATGCATGTTTGTACATGATTTACCTTGTGGGTGAATGTTATTATTCAAACACGCGAAATATCCAACAGGGGAGAATCTGTAAACAGTAGTTTTATGAGTTTGATTTCGAACAGAACAAAAGGAAAGGAACCGTACTGTTTGTTGGGCAATGGAGCATTGTCGGACAATTTGTCAAGGGTGGTACATGATCGGTGGGGGAGTTGTTTTTTGACCAAGCTTCACCTATGACACGGACCGAGAGAGGGAATAATCCGACTACTAAATAGCACGTGCGAGTGACGGTCAATTAGAAAATCGTTTGCCCTCTGTGACCGGTATTAGAATCCTACAAGCCCTCGAGGGATGCGGTACCGATAGCATTGTTGCCGGTCGATACTACCAGAACCTTGACCGCAAGGGAAAAACAGGAAAACAAACGAAAATACTTACCAAGAGTAAACTCTCCCAGGCCATCCACCGTATCGGTAGTTTGGCTTTCGTGTCGCTGATGTAATAATCCGTTTCGTACTTTGTGCAGTACATGGCGTGATCTGACACTTTAATGTGGTAGCTTTTTCCCACGAGGCAGTTTCTGAAAAAATGCATAATTAAAATCGGCCGTTGAAAATTAAAAAATTGACACCAACAGGTTTTAGTCGAATCGAGATTTTTGCTGAATCAGCCCTCTCACGATAATTCGACAAATGAGACGTAAAATTGCTCCTCTCAAGACGAGGGGTTTTGTTCGGTGATTTGAACTCTCCCCCAACTTTAGATAGAAAAATGAATAGCAGCACTTATCAACTTGTTTCAAATTCTCCCCAAACACAAAGTGATATTGTTTGTCGCATCAGATGTGAGAAATGTGGAATACAACATTGCTCTTCAAGTTATCCTTTAAAATTAACATTTAGCCGACTTTATAGTATTGGTTTTACTTGGAAATGCTCATTGAAATTTTTAATTATATAGAAACAAGGTCAATTTCCGGCATCATGAAAAAACTAGGTTTAGTAAAAATAACAGACTTTTTATCCATTTTCATCAAATTATTGATTGATTTTTTATAACTTTGGTTGTTCTGTACACATGCACATAGGTAGGTTTTTAATTTTTTTTATTTTTTTACGCTTAGGGCTCGTACCAGCAGAGGTTATATCTACCCTCGGGGTACCGGTGTTTTTGAAAAGAAAAGCCCATTTGTAAATATGTCGGGTTCAAAAGCAGGGCTGCTGGATTCGTACCCGGGACTTTTACCTTACAGTGATGAGCGCCGTGCCAACGACTAAACCGTTGCGGCCACCCCCCCCCCCAGAGTAGGGTTTAAAAAAGCGAAAACTACCAGATTTGTAAATTCACGATTTAATATGTCACAGCCGTACAGGCTTCCTCTACAGAAATTTCGGTGTACCAGAAATAACTTATTTTTTGAGAACCGCTATAAATGTAATTGATATACGTATAACGCTAATTATCACAACAAATTATTTTTCCATTGTTTTAAATTATGATCGGATATGAAATTTTTTATGGTTATTTTCGATTTATTGATATATTATAAACAATTAACCGATCTAATTGTAGTAATTTTGAATAAAATTAGCAATATTATTGATATGCATTTTTTCTCAGGTTCATTTTTAAGCTGTTTAATAATAAACTAGTATTATTACCCTGTCCTTCCAGTACATTATTTTTAAATGGCTTGGTATATTAGCACCTGCAAATGACTTTTTCCAACCTCTTCCGTAGGGTTGGTGTTCAGAAATGACTTTTAAATAGTGAACCGATTTGGAATTTTTTATGATTAGTTTTAACTTATCAAATGGTTAAATTAAACTATAGCCGAATGGTTAGGATGTAGACTTATTGGCGGCCCCGTGGTCGTGGGTACGATTGCTTTCGTCGCTGTAATTTTCTGAACGCTTTCCTACCATAAAAAAAATTAAAAATATAATAAAATAAAAATAAATCATTATCAAATATCGTCTCTGCCGAACACGTAAGTTATTGATGATATATAAATTACTGGTCTAATTTAATATTATTTACACGTATTTTTATGTTTTTAGGCAGGTGAATATTTCACTTTTGATACTCTGTCTTTGTAGTAGATTATTTTTAAATCGGTTGATGTAGTAGGATTTAAAAACAACTTTTAACAACCTTTCAGAATGGTTGGGCCCAAAAATGACTATGGTCTTGTGGTATAATACCTAATTGTAACAATAATATTGATTGCTTTAAATTATGAATCGATTGGAAATTTTTTATGATGAATTTTAATTTATTAATTGCGATGTTGACCCGTCGTGGGTTCGATTCCCACCGTTACTTTTTTAATGTTTTGAAGCTCCCCTTCCACAAGAAAGTCCAAGTACATGTAGCAACTCAAAAAAAAAACTTATTTATTTATAGTTCACTGATATAATTTAATGTAAGTGCGTTTTCCAGATTTTGTTAAAACTGTTTACTGTATAACTTTTGTTAAAAAGTTGCAGTAGATTGTTTTAGGCGTGTCGGTAGCCGTAATGATTTATCAGTTGACACGGCGCTCATCACTTAAGGTAAAAGTCTTCGGTTCGAATCCAGCGGCCATGCATTCGAACCTGACATGCTTACAAATGAGGTTTTTCAATAACTCCGGCACCCCGCGGGTTCAAATATCGACGTAGTTGAAACACCCACCGTAAAATCAAATATTTTTAGAAGGCTTTGTATAGTAGAACCGAAAAACAATTTACAACGGATGAACATTAAACCTTAATGTATAATAAATTAAGTATTAAAATAATATCTGCTTTGGAATGCCGCAATAAACCACTGTGCTCCATGTGTTCACAAAGCCAGAAGATAAGGAGGAAGAAAAAGGGTCGTCCTAGCGCCATTTAATAGTCCTAGACCTTTAATAAGGGCTTAAGGTTTGCTGATAAAGGTTACTAACCTGGCCGCCAAATCTCTGTGAGCAAGGTCCAGCGATTCTAAGTACTTCATTCCAGAAGCCACCTGAGTCGCCATGTAAATCAGACAGCCGTAACTGAAAGGTACATAACATTAGAACACAACTAAAACAATGATTCGAACTTGGTTAATTGACGAAGGGGACAAAGCATCTCTTCAAAAGTGGAAGTTAAAACGAAATTGGATCCGACTTCATTTTCCGTATTTAAGATCTATTCTTTGTCTCGATGTTGAAAGGCAAGGGGGAAACTCTATTTATTCTTTCTTTTCACTCCCTTTGAGGGCGGGAAGAAATAAAAGGCATCCCCTTCCCTCTCGGGGGTAAAAGGGATTGGCCTCACGACTTTTCGACTGACCTGAGCGCGGGATTTTCTTCGTCTGGGCTCGTGGACTGGAGCTGGAGAAAAGTCGGCAGGTCGCCGAATTCACAATACTCCTGTAGGATGCAGAAGGGTTCTTCTTGACTGCACACACCCACCACTCTGGCCACGTTCGGGTCCCGGAGCGTGCCCATCCACGCACTCTCATGCAAAAACTCTTTTCTAAAAAAATTACCAGTTAAAATCAAATAATTAAAAAATCTTATAAATAAAATTAAAAGTTCAAAAATATTACTTGGTCGATTCTGTACACCCCCTCCAAACTGATTTAACAACGACTTGTTTCTTATGATATGACGTTATGCCGTTGTATTCAGGCACTCCTTCGGTTTCACACAAGTGAATCTAAACATAGAAAACAAAATCCATTAGAAAAGATCAAACAATATAAACTTAGGTTGAGAAACTCACCATTCCAAAAGATCCTTCGCCCATTTTTTCAATGACTCGAAGGCGGTGCCTTGAAAATTCGAGAAGGGGAGAGCTGTCTTCGGGGCTTCCTTCTGGTAATTTTAACGGTGTAAATTTTCCTGGCGTTAAATGCTGTTCTCGCCGTTCGGTCTAAAGAAGAAAATAAATTTGTAAGGTTCACTCTTGGTATCTGCAGAGTGATTAACATTTGGTTGGGTCGTTTTTTGTACTTTCGCACGGTCTGTCTACGCTGCTTAGGCGAATACATTCTGACAGACCGAAACAGCGAGGAAAGACATTATTTTAGTATTTAATCGGTATAAGGTTGTAATTAGTGAACTAATACGACATATAAATTTATTTCCTTGGCAGCACCTTCGAAGATCTGACGAGCTTCGTCAGACTCGAGCTTGTATCTGATCTCTTACATGATTATGAAAAGGAAGCCAGTCATAGATGCGAAAGCGTTACAAAGTGAATAAATTAATATTTCGTTTATTCCAAACGTACACGTCAAACAAACAAAAAATCCAAAACGATCTACCTGCGGATAAAAAGAAATTCAATTATAAATGAATTGGCAGTGAAATAATTGATGAACTCCTGAAATTTATAAAAGTTTAAGGCGAATAAACGATATATTTGATTGAATTATTTATAATGGAAAATAATTATTTTTGCAAGAGTGGATTACCAGTACGAGTGGAAATTTTATAGAGAGCCTAACTGACTTGCGTGAATCTTTAATGCGATTTCATATAAAAAAAACCTTTGACCTGAAAATGTTTCTCTTTTCTGAAGTCGTTCCCAAATATTGTAACATTTATTTTTACAATATAAAGTTAGACCAGCTGCGTATTGAGCCGAAAATCTTGGATCGAATCTCGCTCTTGATACAATTTTTTCATTCCAACCAAAAACCTTAGAAAAAATAATAATTAATTGGAATAATTAATATGGTCAATTATGGCTACTAAGCAAGTATGAATTAATTTATTTTTACTTTTTACTTTTATTTTTACTTTTACTTAATTTGGTTTATTTCATTTAATAAGAATCAAGAAAATGATGAAAATAATGAAATAATAAAATAATATCAGACAGGCTGCAATTTACTAGGTAGGGGATTAAGACAGGTGTAAATGAAAATCTGTCGACGAATGAAATGTGGGTTTTATAATTAAATGGCCCAGCTGAGATTTTAATGTTTCTAAGATGCTCGTAGTGTGGGAAAATTAACCCGGACTTTATTATTCCGTTGAAATTTGACGATGAAATAAACTGAAGGAAACCAGTATTTCATCGATCGGCCATATTAAAAAACATACCGACTTATTGTTAATAATCTGAAAGAAAAGGAGAGGCCGTTTACTAAAAGTGTCTCCTTCATCCCCTAAATAAGTTGAATATTTTTTTTTTTTTCAAACGAAGGGAGAATAATTGGTTCCTTAATAGGAGGAGGGTTGTAGTTATCCTTAAAAGGGATAAAAATATACAAACAGTTTAAGAAGGGAAACTCACCTTGATTATATCTGTTGCTGCGTAGTAATTTTCCACAGGCTGAGCATTAGCTTTGTTCAGGGTGGCCGTGCTGTTGAAATTCGTTGACATCTCGTAAGGGGGAGGCCTTGAAGATGGCGGAGGAGGAGGTGTCAAGTTGTACAAAGACGGTGATGAGAATTTGACCTCCTCTTGGAAACTGTTAACGCTTGTGAAGTCAAGAGAGCGGCATAATCCTAAACCCATTGAAAGGTGATGTTGTACCCTTGAAGTTGAACAAATTTACCATCTGATCTTATCTAGCAACTATGCCAGATAATTGCATGCGATCTGAGATAAGTTGATTCAAATTATACACCCGGTACAAATACTTGATGTACAAAAGACAAAAAAAAAGTCTTGTAAAAATTTTCAGAGGTGTTCGCCAGCGGATTACATCGAATTTAGGGCGATAACATTTATGGAAGAGGCCGGCTCAATATCGGGGACGTTGGCCGAGTTATGGTCTTAATAAGTCACAAGACATCCCTCCCCCCTTTGCGGCATTACTCTTATAATAGTCTTCGTGATTCTTGGCCAGATATATTTTCGTATTAGACCAATAAAACTTCACCATCTTCCATACGAAACTAAGTAACAAAATATCGTAGAAACTATAAAAACTTTTAAATGTTTTTCAACAGTAAATGACAATAACTAAAACTATCACTATTTTGAAAATTATTCTTTGTAGTTCTTAATCGTTAGACAATAAATGTGTATGAATAATATAAATATAATTTTTGTAGATTTATCGGTCAGTTTATTCAGTTAATGTTTACTTGGTTATCAGAGATGTGGTCAAATAAAATATTTTTAATTTTCAATCTTCGCCCAGCTTTCGGATTTTTATCGCACCTTCTTCAGGGCTCTAAAGAAACAAAACAAAAGGATATATAATACATTTTTCATTGTAACCAATTTTACATCAATGTATGTACGTAAGAACATGACACATTTTTGTACTTCCTGATTTTTAGTCTAGTTATTGTTGTTTTTAATTGTATTTTTATTTCTACTGTCTGTGATATTATATGAAATTAGTCTATACATTTCATAGATAAAAATGTGAAGAAAAAGTGAGAAAATAGCTTTCAAAAACAAAACTATTCAAGTTTATTTACTTTCGACTAAAAATCAGTAAGTACTAAAATGCGTATCATGTTCTTACCTATATTGGTGCTTAGCCAAAATTAAAAATGTATAATATCTCCTATTGTAGAGCTCTGAAGAAGGTACAATAAATTTCCGAAAGCTAGGCGAAGATTTAAAATTAAAAACATTTTATTTGATCACATCCCTGAAAACCAAGTTAACATTACAAATACAGTTATTCAGATATCGTGAGATGCGGTCGGGTAGGCATCGAGATAGATCAAAACGTTGGCACGATAAAGAAAATGTTTTTCTGAAACCTACATCACACCCGACCGCATCTCACGATATCTGAATAACTATCGATCAACGGTCGCTAACCTCTACACATTGCAAATACAATTGTTACATCACAATTTAAATGTTATACACTATAATTAATTTCAATTAATTATTCTTTCTAAGGTCTTGGTTGAGATATAAAAGTCAGTGTCACGAGCGGGATTCGAACGCACGACCTTCGGCTAAGTACGCCGCTATTCAACCACTTGAGCTATCGTGACTTCGATCCACTCGGACGACAACTTCCCATCTCAACCACCTTTCGAATTTTCCCTCCTTTTTGCCATTTTTCAAATCTCGTGTAATCTTGTTTGTTTCTTGGCGACAAATGAAATGGCCACGGAGAGCATTAGTGAAGATATACATCATTTTATGTAATGTTGTAATGTTATTTTATTATGTGCAAACCATTTTAAACTGCTCTGTAATATATACATATGTGATTATATAAAGTAGTCATAGTCTAACAAAATAAATAAATTGTAAGGTTTCAAAATTGTTAAACAAATCTTCTTTTCCGTAATAATGGTGGTGTTATTGAATAAAAAACCGCGTGTGCGATCAGATATTGAATAGTAACACTGAATGAGTGAGTGTTGTTCAAACAAAATTCTGTACTTTCAACGGTTCTGTCATATTTTATGAGCTTAAAATCCTCTGTTTGCAGACTACTAACTGATGATAAATTTATACACTCAGCTAATTCATTATGGATGCTTTAAAAGAGCAAATGCGCGTTCAATGGAGTATCATTTAAAATCACGTTCCCTCTTCGTTTCATAATAATTAAGTATTGTTTGAAATTGGACCCAACATCGCAAATGTAAAAACTAAATTAGTAATAGCATGTCACATAACTCTTTTACAAAAAGTAAAGAGCAAATTGGCGTATGTACATTTGTGCAATGTAGATTCGGGTTATAAATCCATGAATAAACAGAACGTTTACCTGTGTTGTAATCTGCGCTTTTGCTTGACGGGATCGTGTCCTTCTTGATCAAACAACCGTATTCCTGTTTGGTAGAGGGCAAGAGTTTGTAAGGTTCATGATAGACGGATGAATTTTCGCTATCTTCACTTTCTTCGCCGGGCATATGGCCGTAAAGCCCTTTGCCGCTTGGTTTGCTCCTTGTCCTGGTGACACCGTTATTTATAATCGGCGTGGTCATCTTGAGTTCTTTCATATTTATAGTCACGCCGGGCTTCGTGCCGAGAGATGTGTGCTTATGGAGTAAAGCCACTTTTTTCCTTCCTCTGCGAATCATGAGAAGTACCGTGCAGCCTAGAAGAAGCACCACCATCGCGAGTACTCCGGTTATCAGTCCTATGTACGCCTGCGTCCGTCCTGACGGACTTGTGGCTGAAACAAAAATGTAACCTTTCTTAGACAACAAAATACTTATAACCAACTCAATACTGAAACATACATCACACCATATCAGGACACATATGACATAATATTGTGGGGTTCAAACATATTTCCAAATATCCGCATCCATCACGACAATCTAAATGACCCCTTTTTTAAAAATTATTGAAAAAGATAATGTAGGTAAATTCACAAGTTTCCGTGGTCCGCTTGTCCAATTAATATCTTTCACTTAATTAAGGTTTTTAGTTGAGGTAAAACAGTCAATGTCACGAGCGGGATTCGAACCCTCGATCTTCGGCTAGATACGCCGCTGCTCTACCACTTGAGCTATCGTGACTTCGATCCACTCGGACACTAACCTCCCATCTCAACCCCACCTTTTGAAAAATGGCAAAAAGGGGGGAAATTTCAAAAGGTGGGGTTGAGATGGGAAGTTAGTGTCCGAGTGGATCAAACTCACGATTGCTGAAGTCGTAGACCAGCGGCGTATTTAGTGACACTGACTTTTTATCTCAACTAAAAACGTTAATTAATTGAATGTAGGTAAATTAACATTTTGTAAATGATGACTCTACTCACAGAAAATTATGTATTAGAACCATCATTTACAAAAAGTAAATCTACGTACTGCCCTCATCTTTTCTATTTTTCTTATTGGTAAAGTAATTCACGTTACATACGAACGATTAAGTCGAGACATTTTTCTTATTGGAGTCAATTAAAACGCCATGAGATATGGTGGATTGGAACCCAGAACGACTATTGTGATGACCACGAGTCGGAAGTACCGACTGACACTACATCGCAGTACTGAATTACGTGAAAGACAGGATAAAATTAACCGTACAGATCAAAGACGAATAAAAAAAAAGAATTCAAAAAAGAAACAACACACACACACACACAACAGACAGTACGGGAAATAAATTCACATAAATCAGAAAAACTTATCAACTGACTAGCTTTGTAGACATAACAACAGCACTGAAAATAAAAAACACAATAGGAAAACTACTAAGACAAAATATTAACAAAAACCGAATCAATAGAAACAAAACGGAATATACTGAACAAGTTGTGAGATAAATAAACGGGACTGACAGAACGAAAAATAAAAGGCAGATACAACGAACACTTAAATTGATTCTGGGATAACGACGGAAATTCGAATTAGAAATTAGAAAGTAATCACGAAACATCGACAAGAAAAGTAGGAAACTTCTATATAACGTACAAAATTAAAAGAACATACTTGAAAATTTAGAAATACACAAACATAACACATACACATTGAATACAATAACAACTCACAAATGCATGGCATACATCGTTTACACCATTCAAAACATTATACAAAGAAGAAAAGAAAAAGGACGCACGATCACAAAGACCGAATGGAACAATTAAAAACAAAAGACTATTTTAATCAATCAAATACATCGACAAACGGAGCTAAAACCGACACCAACGCCAACCATCTACGACCTGATTACTACAACTTGACACCACCGAAATCAGAGCTCTGAAGATGGTGAAATAGACAGACAAAATTAGTATGATGGGCAGACCAAGAGGATAGGTAACTATGAAATTACAGATTTCTCACTTTGTAGACCACAGGTGGAAATCTAAAAAAAAATTGTAATCATGACGAATTTTACATAACTTAATCTTAATTGTTAAGATATAGTAGATTGTTAAGATTGTTAAACGATATAGTAAAGTGAACTAACAAACAAGTAAATAACAAACAGTGATTATCTTAACAATGCTTTGTTTATTAATAATTATCGCTTACTAATTATGTGATTCACGTCTGTTTCAATATTACCAGACAAACTAGTTAAATAAACCATGATTGTGTCTACCTAGACTATAACCAATTATATTGGATTGAAGCTCGTAAATAGTGATTTAAATAGTTCATTTGTTTTGTGACAGATATGAGCAGTCACTGTGAAGTCAAAATAATTGTTGCGTTTGTTTAAATAATAAACAATCCATAATTTCAAAAGTTTGTGTTGATACATATACTTATGTAAACGTTACAATGCACAGTCCATTCGAGTTCTTTTGTGTTTATAATGCTTTTTGTAATTGTTTAGAATCAACGGTTGCGTGTTTCATTCTGTCCATTCAAAGATTACCATTGTATGAGATAAGACAAGCCCCCCCCCCCCTTACACACTTTATAAAGTAGAGTAATAAGTGCCAAAATTGAAAGTACAAAAGGGACTGGAGGGGACGTTGATAAATTGACCGCGTCATTTAGCAAAGCTTTTTGTTTTTGTTTAAACGTAAAATGGTAGACGTGCAAGGGATGAGCTTTGAATAACATTTTCGGTGGGACAAAGACATCGTCGGATGCCGGCAAGGAAAACTTAGTGCCTCCTTTGTAGGACCCCCCCTCATAACTCGGCTTTAATCAGGAGTCTACGAGAGACAAAGAGCGTTGTGGCTAACCTCATGCTGGTACCTACATCCTACAAGTTCAAGCAAGTCGGCAAACATCTTAAGGTCGTTTGATTAATTAATAATCACAATTCTAGATGAAGTGGAAAAATTTGTAGAAGAAAGAAAGATTTCATACATTTTTACAATCTTCTGTCTATTAATTTGATTATGGCAATATATGACTTTTTTGTCACTAGGAATAATCAGCTAGCGAACAAAAAATAGTTAGTAGCAATGAAACGAAAATGTTTCTGCGAGACGCCTTGCATTTCCAAATTTTCTAGTGTGCCCAAGTGTATCCCTCAATGGTTACTAGTAGAGAAAATCATCAGGGCAAGTCCTTTAATGCACAAGTACGAAGGCAAACATTCATAAATCTTTGTTAAATACTTCTTGGCAACGTTTAAATGACATTAGGCTGGAATGCCACAAGGAAGCGTACATAGGCTCCTATGTTTATCTCCTGCAAACACTGATGTCCCCAAAGGTGAATTAATAACACTTACTACATTAGTAGATTATACTGCCATGAAAGTTAACAGGTGGTTCAAACGAAACGCTCTATTCACCGATAAAAAAAGGTCAATTTGTGCCAATAATCTGCTCAACTAGCACTCCGACTCCAGGTTCGTCTCAATAAAAATAGAAAACTTTAAATTAAATTTAGGAATATAATGTATTGAGCATAATCATGACACAGTACCAAATGGATAATTGAAATCATTTTTTAGTTATTCCAAATCAAGATAATCGGAAATATGGTCTACTTCCTTGACTTTATGCGCAATGACGTTCTGCGCTGTACTCAGAGTAAGGTGACTGTCTGTGTAACCACCAACTTTGCTTTGAGTTTGAGTCAACGTGAATCCGCGCTCATCGCTGTAAGGTAAAAGTCCCGGGTTCGAATACAGTGGCTCTGTACTCGAACCCTATAAACTTACGAGTGGGCTATTTTTTACAAATTTGAGCACCCCGGGGTTTCAAAGCCTCGCAGTTGAAGTACCTTTGTAAAAAAAATTTACTGCTTGATACAAAGGGTGACTGCGTTGGCTTAAGCACTCTGAAGTGCGCATATTACCGGATTAGAAAAACAGATTTTTTTAATTTCCTAAGTGATAGTTTTTGGAGAGTGTATAATGGTGAGTAGCTACAACATACCTATTGTACAAAAAAGGCAACATTTATTTTGTCAAAATGATATTCTTCTCAAACTCTAAGATTTTTAAATATAGCACATTTTACTAATGAATGTAATTAACTGTGGATGTATAATATGGAATAAGTCTATAGCATTGATTAATGTGTTTGCCAGTTTTAGAGAGTTTTAACGAATTTCGAAAATTATTGTCAGAGTATAATATTTTGTTTACAATTATTTAATTTTTATGTATGGTATTGATTGAGATAAAAAAACCCACGACCTTCAGGTAATATGCCGCTGCTCTAACCACTTGAGCTATCGTAACTTCGATCCACTCGGAGGGAAAATTCAATCGGTGTGAGTTTGTGTATGTGTGTGTGTCTGTGTGTGATCTTTCGGTATGAACAAAAAACCAAATCTTAGGGTCATAACCCACAAGGAAATGTATTTAAAAAAAAACTAACAGAAAATAGTGTTTTACTTAAAAAACTAGAAATCTTTCGAAATATTTTGGAATGTAAAATTGTAATTCTGATAAGTAGAATAAATTGAGAAGTTTTTGACTTTGAAAGAGATCTCTCCCCGTCCAGGGTAAACATAAAATAAAATATTTCCTTGTGTATAGCTTACAATATATTTACTAAAATATATTGTATAAATATAAATTGTAAAATATATTGTAAAATATAAATAATACTAAAATATCCAGTGTTGTTTACAATTCACTAGTTTTTGTGGTCCGCTTGACCGATAGTTGTTTACAATGTTACTGAAGAGGAGCAATATGAACTCCGAGAAACAGAGACAAAATTTTTTCACTAACTCGGGTTGTTAAAGTGAACAAATATTTTGTAGCAAAACCTACAACAATTTTCAGCTTTTTGAAAAACCATTTTCGCTTCGACCGGATTAAAAAATAAAACCAACATTTCATGACATGGAGTAAAACGGAGGGGGACAACAGGGTAAAGCATTAACAAAAACGTGATAAAACTCGATGAAATATTGCTTCTATTGAATGCACATTTCTACGTTTATGGTAAAATAATTTCACATTTATGATAGCTTTAGTGAAGATGTAGTTCATTTTAACTTATTAAGTTCACTAGTTTTCGTGGTCCGCTTGACCAATTAATATCTTTTAATTAATTAAGGTTTTCAGTTGAGATAAAAAGTCGAAGTAGAGTAGCGGCGTATCTAGCCGAAGGTCGTGAGTTCGAATCCTGCTCGTGACACTGACTTTTTATCTCAAATAAAAACCTTAATTAAATAAAAATAATGTGCAACCAATTTACTATCATGAAGGACTGTTTCGAGTTTATCCTAAACAGACAGAGAATCACCAACTTTAAAAAGAAAAAAATTCGTAATCAAAAATAGTTTTTGAAGTGTTAGAATGTTAATAAAAGTTTTTATAAAATGAAGTTATTGGTTGATTATTGGTATGATAGATTATTTTTAATTTTTATTCATTCCACGTGCGCCCTCACTTATATACGCCTCATTTGACTTTCGGAAAAAACACAATTTATTTAAATATTTGCCATTGTTGCAAACGTCTAACTGGATCAAGTTGAAGAAGGGGGTAAGTCTGGATTTTTCACTTTCAAATCATTTTCCCCTCATTTCTTTAAATAAATTGGAAAAGTTACAATCTGTTTAGCATTCAGAAAACGCAGCCCTCAGGGCTCCCGGGTCTTATAGAATAAGAATGTAGGCCCGCAGAAATTTCAGAAACCACCGGGAGTTTTTATGATTTCTGGGACAACCTACAGATTATGCTGTCCCCGTTGAATTGAAATAAGGTCATCTAATAGAAAGGATTGAATTGATCGGAGACAACGGTTTAATATTAGGAAGGATAGGAGACCTCCTTTCGTATTATAATATATATTGCTCTTGAAGGAATAACATCTAGGCCAAGACAAGCGGAATGATGCCGTATTACAACAAATAGTTTTAGAAATAAAATAAACTACGTAAGACTCACTATACACAAAGTAAAACCGACTATAATTCGTGTTGATAAATTTGTGTCAATTATTAAAAACAATTTTCCTCTTTTCTCGTTTCGTTTACGGTCAATTTCTGTTTATTCATTATTTAAAGCGTAACATGGAAAGAGCTGGGCAAGAATAAATAGGTTACCTGGGGTAACTTCCTTTCTGGCGTGAGTCGTTTCACCTCCCATGCTAGTACGTTTTTCGACTTCATTCTCCTCCGGCTGCAAGTAGAATTGATCTAGTGACTCTTCTTCTGTGAGGTTGCCACTAAGGAGAACTGAAAAAAAAAAATATTTAAACATAACTCTCATCGATCATATTACCATCAATATACAACTACTAATGTTAAATTATTTCTAATAAGATTAATATCATTGACATATATTAAACAAAAAGAGTTAAATTGATTTTCTGATTTTCAGGTAACTTAACTTGTTTAAAGTTAAGAAGGGAAATATTACTATATATTTTTTAATACACATCGTTAAAAATAATACATTATATTAATTAATACACTTAAAATATATGGAAATAAAATAAATATTAGCAGCACCTGAAAGAAATTGCTAGCCAGAACAAAAAATAGTTGGAACTTTAGGTATATGGATTTTTAGCAACGTATTGTTTGAGTTTACTTTAAATTAGTGGTATCAATGTCAAATATAAATATTATTTGATAGTAATTACTTATCATTTTATGTAGATGTCTGTTTCACCGTCAAAATGTATTATGCTGGCCCGGTGCTCCATAGCCTTAAACGCAAAGCACTCGTACAATATTTTTTCATGTTAATTGTTTCTTCATCCTTTGGAAAGTACGTATACCATTTTGGTACATTAATTGTTAATTGTATGTTACTTTGTATTTATTTGAATGTGTGATAAAATAAGCCTTGTTGATGGCACTATAAAGTGCCGAAAGCTCGATGTTCCCAGCATTTAGTCTTTTTTCACCCGTCAAAACACATAAAATAAATATTATTTAGATTCAGTTTATTTTACAGACTTTCAGTTGAAAACAGAAGATGATTATTAATTAGGACAATAGTTAATAACATTCAAATTCTGATCAGTAGAAATATAACTATCACGATTTAAATGAATTATGAAGTAAATTAAAAAAAGGAAAATAATGGGTTTGTCATACAGTTTTTATTTAATCTGCTTTGAAAATGCCAAGGGATTGATTGTTTTATGAAATCGATATTGTTTAATAGATTAGTTTAGTTTAACAGAATTTTAATTTTTAGTTTAATAGGCCATATTATTTAAAATTTAAATAATATGAACTTTTAGTAATTGATTTACATTTTGGGAGGTTGAACTTTTTGTTTGTTTATTTATAACAATGTAGAAAAGTTGTTATTTTTTTAATATTTGATGTCACTTTTTTTCTGCTCTCTCTATCAACGGCATGAATAATTGTAACGAGATAGAAATATTGCAAAATTGAAAAACGTAGAATTGCAATATACATTTCACCGGCCTCTCCATATAACTGGAAAAACGTCAAACACAGGGGGTAGAAATTCAGGTATAGATATCGTAATTACATCTTTTTCACAAAAAAGCCACTCCCAACCCCAAAAAATACTTTCCGATAATTGTTTTTCCTTTCCCAGTTGTGTTAGGGGGATTGTTAATGACACATTGTACATCTGCTCACCGCGCGCCAAAGCAAGAGAGAAGAAATAAGGGAGAAAACGGGGGCGAAGCGTTCATTTAAATGTAAAGTGGGGGAGGGCAAAACTGTCTCAACTTTTTTTTCCTTTTTTACCAGGACAAGAATAAGAAGTTCTAACCCGACGAGATCTGGCATGACAATACATTTTTACACAGCTTTTTACCGGCACATGTAAAAGTACGATTGGTTCATTTGTTGACAAGAAATGAATATGATGTGACGTTAAAAGTTTAAGGTTTTAGTTCACAACTAAAAATCGTGTGTGCTTGTGTATTCATGCTCATAACACATGGTTTGTTTAGACAACGTGGACAGTTTAAGATAAATGGTCGAGGAAAGCTGGCAAAGTTGAAGCCACGCACTTTGCGTCAGATTAAGCCGGTGTTGCACGGTGGCTGTTTCCATTGAAACGACAGTAGGAAAGCCCTGTCATCTCGGCGGGCAAAGTTGTCGCCGACACCGGAATGGGAATGGGCAAGTTGCAGGATGTTGGAATGCCCGGACAAGTTTGACGTTCGAGTGGACTAAAAGCCCGATACGCAGACAACTTTGCCAACCGGCACGATTTCGTATAATTTCGTACTGGTAGTTCGATACTTCTACATCCATTTGGATATGATGCCAGTAATGATAATTTATTGTTCAATCCTAAATTATTTATCACTAGTCCCTTATGTTTTTTAATAATTGCGGTATTTATGTTGACAAATCAAACAATGTTTAGTGAGAAATTAACTCAATTTTATAGTAACGTTTGTTATAGTAACGAATTATAGGTAAAACGATTAAGGTTATACCTAAATAGTACAAAATTTGATTTTGCAAGTAGGACGAAGAAAATATTGTTTAATGTCTTAAATTGAACGAAAAATTTGTTTTATCAAGAAAACTAAACTTGATACAAAAAGTGTTTAATTAGATTTTATACCTTTTACAAAGAGGATAACAATTTCCTAATGAGTTCATTTATTTTATTTAAAAAATACGAATTATAAAGCTTAATTGACTAATTTTATCCAAATAATATATTAATTCAATGTGCGTACAAATGTTATTCATGTCTTTTTTTCTCTCTCGTTGTTTAAATGGAAGAGTATATTTTGTTTATAAATTTTCCAATTACAAACAAACGGCAGTCCTTCTGCATATTTATGAACGTTTTATCGTATCCCGATTTTAACAATTTACCTGACCGAGGGAGAGTGAGTAAAACAATAAAATACGGATGCAGGAGCGTCGAATATGAATATGTACGACCCGAGGGTAAATATACAAAAGTGTTCACCGACTGATGATAGGTTCTGAAAGATAAAAAATAAAAATGACGCGGAAAAAACTGTAAAAAAATCTACTAAAATCGAGATCTGCCGAGCAGAAACTTATCCCGAAATTTACAGTTGGATAGAAAGCTATGGTAAAGTTGAGTTGTTTGGTTTTTCAATCAAGATTCCTCTATTGCAGCCAGTTTACTGCCTCCACACGTACCCGAAACTGCTGAAATATTCGGCACGTTTAAATACACGTCGTTAGAGTCCTGTTACCACCCCAGTTGGAAAGTCATATAAACCTATGAACTTTAACTGAAATAAGTTCACAGCAGTGGCTTTGGTTATTGGGTGGGCAGATCTAGTTTTAAAACGGAGATAATTATTCAGAAATCGTAAGATGCGGTCTGGTGTGATGTAGGTTTCAGATTTTCTTTATCGATCTTTATTGAGATCATCTGCAGGGCCTGGGATTTACAAACATTGTTTAAATTTAACAAATACATGTAGCATGTGGAAAAAAGAGAAATTATACAATGCAAAAAAATATATTTTTTATATTCAATCAAAGTATTTCTACTCACTCAAAATGTTTGTAATTTTTGTATAAGAGGTCGGCTTCTTTGAGTTGAAAAGAGCCGACGAAGGGAAAAAACGTTGGTAATAGTTTGGTCAGATTATCCTTTCAGGATTACATAGATGGAGATAAATAGGAGAAGGAAAGCTAAATTGTTGAAAAATTTGTAAAAATGTTTGATGTGTGGAATGTGATGAATGTTTTATATGTTATAATATACATTTTGTTTGATGTGACATAAATGTAAAATACAAAAAATGTGAAAAATCGTTTTGACCTATTAGCACATAATATGGTAGTTGTGCAAAAAAAAAAAACTATCTTATAAAATGTATTTATCATTTGGTATTCGATGACATCAACTCACCCTCTTTTTTTATTAAGGTTTTTATTGTTAAATGAATAAATTCATACAAAATGTTAGAACGTTTAACGGCCGTATTTCGGCTAGGTGGCAGACAATGATGAGCACATGCGATAACTCCCTAATATTCATTACCACCAAAGACACCTCGTAAGTAATAGCAACCTGATAATATTTAATGAACGATTAATTATTAAGATCCTAGTGAATTGGTGGAATATTTCGATTATTGAATGGACTTGAAGAAAAAGGAAAAATTCAAGTGTTACTATCTAGTTTTCATCCTACTTTAAGATCATTAACAGAGCCTTTGTTAATTGCACGTTGAGAAGTATTTGTACAGTTGATTCCTCCGTCAATATAACATCTAAATGTATTTATATAGATTTAGAAAATAATCTTAAATATGCTTACAAATTGGCATAATTAAGTTTTTAATAGAAGATTTCAAACTTTGATGCCTTTGGGGAACGATTCAGTCAGAACATTTCCAAGAACTGAACATTTATGCAACCTTAAAAAATAATATAATATTTGTATTGATTTTTGATTAATATCGATTATATTTTTATGTGTAAGTTATATTATTTTAATTACACAGGTTTCTCGATACTAATTTGTAACGAATATATCAGAATATCTGGATGAAGAAAAAGAGTAGAGAGAGAGAGAGAGAGAGAGAGAGAGAGAGAGAGAGAGAGAGAGAGAGAGAGAGAGAGAGAGAGAGAGAAAAAGAGAGAGAGGGAGAGAGAGAGAGAGGGAGTTAGTGAGAGGGGAGAATGGTAATGAGACGAAAGAGGAATATAGGGCGAACAGACAGATTAGAAAGCAAAAAATACATATTGTAGAATTTGTTATTTAAATCATATTATTTGCATTAGACATTTTAATTTAAAATAAATTGAAAATTTATAATTTTCGTAATCTAAATAAAGTATGTAAAGTAATTCGTTTAAGAGTTTAAGGGGGGTTTATCGTCCAACTATCTTTTGGGTGTCGCGTAAGAGGGGTCGACCCACTTTAGATTACATTTTTCGTGCTATTATCAATGAAAAAACCATATACTACGCAGGGATTCGAACTCAGGATCGATAGCTTGGCAAATATGAGTTCGATACTAAAATGAAGTTTAACAATTATATTGAAGTATAATACAACTAATAATCTTTCAATTAATTAAGATTTTTAGTTGAGATAAAGGTGGGGCTGAGGTGGGAAGTTAATGTCCGAGTGGTCACGATAGCTCAAGTGGTAGAGTAGCGGCGTATCTAGCCGAAGGTCGTGGGTTCGAATCCCGCTCGTGACACTGACTTTTTATCTCAACTACAAATCGTAATTAATTGAAAGATATTAATTGGTCAAGTGGACCACGAGAGCCAGTGAATTTAATAACTAATAATAATATTTCCTACAAGAAAGTTAATAATGATTATAATATTAGCCATGTTTAAAAAAATAGGACATTGCAAATTTATTATAAAACCAGTATTTTGTTAACAAAAAAAAAGTTACGAGAGCTTGGAACATAAGAAAGAGGTCATATTATCGTCGTTATATCGTGTCATCGCAGCGTCGGTGTTTTTGAATAAAAAAAGTAATGCAACATGTATTTGCATACGTATTTTAAAATACTGCAATGAATGAATCAGGGAAGGTTAATCAAGATAAATAAGGGATTTGTTTTCGAAAATTACGGTCGGTGTAGCATGTGTATTTTTCCACGCGCGGTATGAATTAAAGAAAAAAATGGGCAAAAAACCCCGGCGGGCATTAAATTAATTATCAAGGATTTACTGTTGCATAAGACCCTTAATGAGGGTAGGGCAGGGAGAATAAATTTATAAGGGTAGTTAATAATGTTAAGATCCGACTAATGTAGGTCCGCACGTATTGTTAGAAGCTGACTCAGCGGGCGCCGTTTTCCCGATAGTTGTAGTTTATAGTTTAGACCCTACTAAGGGGCCTGGCTGAGGGAATATGCTAGTCTAAGAGGGAAAAGACGCATGGCCATCGTTTATTGCCACCCCCTTATTTTTGGACTTTTAACGACTTTATAAATTCTAATGTAAGTTTAATGTATAATCGCACTTACCGGAGTCGAACGTGACCTCGCTGAGAAGGATCCACCTTGCTGAGAAGTGGAGTTGGACTTTGACATACTTTGCCACCCTACCGTGAAGTGGTATGGTGACGTTGAAAGCCGTCTCTTTCGGTTTTTCTATCCTGGGAAGGAACTTGACGGGGTTCGGTTGGTACCGCTCTCCGTCAATGCTGAACGAAACCACAGCTGACGAAAACACCTAAAACAAAAGAAACACAATATTGACTATTATTGTATATAAATAAAATTATCAAAATATTACCATGCTAAAAAAATTAAATTTCACATAAATAATAACTTTCAATTCATTAAACTGTATTTAAGGTATTGGTTGAGATAAAACCATATCATTGAAAAATTGCGAAAACGAGGGAAAATTCAAAAGGTGAGGTTGAGATGGGAAATTGGTGTCCGAGTGGATGGAAGTTACGATAGCTCAAGTAGTAGAGCAGCGTCGTATCTAGCCGAAGGTCGTGGGTTCAAATCCCGCTCGTGACACTGACTTCTTTTATCTCAACCAATACCTTAAATACAGATTAATTAATTGAAAGATATTACTTGGTCAAACGGACCACGAAAACTAGTAGATTTAATAAATCATAACATTTTCCAATTCTTGGTCCTTCAGCATCAGATTGCAATTAAGTTATCCAACAAATATATATTTTTATTATTACGTTTTATTTCCTTTTTCTTTTGTTTTCCCTTATTATTTTCCGGAAGTGGCGAGGATAATGAACTCAACAATCTTTTGTCTTTTCTATTCCTTTTTGTCCGCAATGCATTTCAGGGCCTTCTTCCCAGGAACGACTCACGGCTTTGGAGATTTTATTAACAACCCCATTAATTTTTTAAGTAAAAAAAGCATTTGACAAATACGAAGCAAAAATTATAACGTAACTTTGATGTTTGAAGGCAATATTTTGATTATTGGACCTGTGCTTAATCTTGGGCAGGCGGTGGGCACAGTTCCGGTTCTTCAGAACAATAGGAACTTTCAAATGTATATGGTGTTTGTGTATGTTTGCGGTGTGGCTGTGTTGTATTTATGATACTTTACTATTTCACTAGTCTACGTCTGGGGAGGAAAAGTAAATTTTTAGCGTGAATAAAGCGGATTCGACCCCACCCCAAGGAATATCGTGTACTCTGTGACCAAACTTCTCTGTTTGTAACAGTTGTTGTATTTATGTTTATTTATTAGCGTGAAAAGTGAAAGGAAGGGGTCTTTTAATTCCAATCAAGCCCTAACAGATCGAGTCGCTCAAATGGTTCCAGGTTACAATATAGACATCAGGTTAAACTATATGTCCTACGCTTTTTTAAATATTTTAATGCCCCACCCAAAAAGAAATATTTACAATTGTCATGGTGTTTTTGGAAAATGAATGGACAGCATTTTAAAATCAATGTTTATTACAAAGTCATCGATATATCACTAATTAATGATGTTTAAAAATATAAATCTATCTAAGACAAATAATCATATGTCAAAATTTACATGGTAATTGCTGTTATTTACTCAAATATAATTACCATACTTCAAAACCTATTTTTGTTCAACAAAAACACTTATTTAGAAAAATCATTGCAAATGAATTAGATTATACAGCTCACAGTATGTATCTCTGTCCAATTTTTTATTGGTTTTACCAGCCCTTAACTGTTACTTTTTTCGTTATATATTTTCAGTAATAATATAAAGCAAAATAAATACTGTTTTATGGTATGTGTTGTACTTGTGGATAATATTCCATCTTCTGTGAAATCAATAAGAAAACAACTATTCAGTAATATTTTGACTAAATCTGAAATATGTGCAACTTGTTGGACTAAATGTTTAAAAGGTACGTCGTATCTGACACAATATATGTTAGAGATAGGGCTTTTCGGTTAATATATCTTGTAGATAAGTCAGAGATTATTTACTATAATCAACTTTATCTTTGTCAAAAGTACACACACGCAGGCTTCTTCCTCTTATAATGTACGGAATAAATTCGTATGAATTATTATCAAATCGTTATAGTAATTGCGTCTATGATATGTTTTCTTGTTGTGATAAATATTTTACTTGATTAATACAAAGTTTTTTGATATTTAAAGAATTTCGTCGAGCTGCTTGTCTATCGATTAATTGCATGTTTTTAGGAAATTCATGTCAGAAGTACGTAAACAGAAACGAAGCTCAAATTAAATAGTAAACATTCGTGAGTGGTTTGCCAAAGGGCTACGACTAATCCACTAGATGGGCAGAGGATGGTCCTATAATCCAATGGGGGTGGGAATCTACTCCTTAAGACAAACTCACCCTTACTTTTCCATTAAAGGAAGTTTTTATTTTAAGGATCAGCGTGGCGGACCCATTACCGGTTATGATTTATATATCAATCCTCTTTCAACGCTCCTACCACCAGCGCCGGTGAATAATTACAGGGTTTTCCTGAGGTTTTAACTCTTACGGGTATTACCATTCTGCACAGATTATTGCGTACCGTCGGAAAAGCGGTAAAGGGAAAGCTTTCAATAAATAATATCGTCTGGATTACTCAAAGCATTAAAATCTGCAAATACAAATCTATACGGGAAGCTGATAAATGAAGGGAGGAAAAATGAACAAAGTAATATCTCTTGCGAATCAATCGTGATGAGATCTATGTGAAGAAGAAGAAAAACTAGTTTATTTGACCAAATATTTACATATGTGCAGATTGCAACCAGACTCTTTTTACATTTGCGTTAGAAGTGCGATAGACACTGGGCTTTATAACCTCCTACAACCTTAATATTGTAATCATTTTGTATTATGTAGCCTGTTTCTGCATTTAGCGGGGAAAAACTGATTATAAATAAAACCCGCTGTATAAAAAAAACCCGCTGTGTAAAAAAAACCCGCTGTGTAAAAAAAAACGCTGTATAAAAAAAACAACTGTATAAAAAAAACCCGCTGTGTAAAAAAAACCCGCTGTATAAAAAAACCCGCTGCATAAAAAAAAAACCGCTGTATAAAAAAACCCGCTGTATAAAAAAACCCGCTGTATAAAAAAACCCGCTTTGTAAAAAAAAACCAGCTGTATAAAAAAAAACTGCTGTATAAAAAAAACCGCTGTGATCTATGTGAGAAACAAAATACATAATGATTGATTCTGTATTAATGTTCTGCTGAAGCGTACATGAGCATATAAAGTATATTTTCTTTTACATAGGTTTATGGGCAAAGGTATTATTCATGAGTCCGTAAAAAATACCGTCTCGAAAAATGTGATGAAAGGCTTTATACAATCCGGTTTACCATTTGTCCTTTCGGTAGATGAGTTAGGGAAAAAGAACAGATCGCACATGTTGTATTTTCTTTTTGTTTTTCCATGTCCTTTTATCTTCGAACACCTATAAATCCATATTGTCTGCGGGTACAATGGGCAAAAGTTGCCGAACGATCCACGGATTCACCGCAAAACCAATATACCTTCGAAGGCACTCGAATCGGAATTGTTATTCAAATTTCAATTCGGCCGTATTCCCTTTCTGAAACCGTCACCGTTCCCGTCGCCTTTCCTTTTTCACGGTATTACGTCCTAGCTACGTCTTTTCTGTAATAAATCTGACCTTTGATAAAGTGATGGATGGTGGCTACGGGGTTTGTACACGTCTCCATATGTAGATAAACTCATGCATTATACAAAGAGATTGCTCATATACGGCCCTCTGTCTACAAGAAGAAACGGGCTTCGTGAATTGACACTTAAACGCCAGCCTGACATATTGGTGCATTTCTTTGGGCTTTGTCCCATACCGATCTGCGCGTCGAATATTCGGACCTAAGTACGTTCTTGAATTATTCATGGTCAGGATAGAAAGCCATTTCTAGAAATTGAACTACCTTGTGTGCTAAAATGGAGATAATTGTACGGTTCAAAAAGTTCAACAGCCTCAAGAGATTTGTTGGGCGTATAATTTTGCTTACCTTCAATTTAGAAGTTTGAATTTAGAAAATACGAACAAATTTATAAAATATTCTTGTAGAAACCTGATGTCATGTGAACTGAATAATAGTCATGTAAAAGTCACAAAAACATTTTTGTAAAAATTAGTGTTTTTTTTTTCAATAATGATTTTTTTATATATTATTTTAAACGGAGATCGTGAAATAAGGTCTGGCGTGACGTAGGTTTTAGAAAAACATTTTCTTTTTCATGCCAACGTTTCGATCTTTATTGAGATCATCTTCAGGGCTCACGAAAGATCGAAACGTTGGCATGATAAAGAAAATGTTTTCTAAAACCTACGTCCCACAGACCGCATTTCACCCACACACACATTATATTTTACTTTACAAAACATACGCAGGGGAAATAACTTTTTAAATCGAACCCATTAAATTGTGATAATATCACAGCCTACCAGGCTTTATTTTGAATTTATTTTTTATTATTTTGTGTTTTTCCAATAAAAAATAACATATAATTGTGCACTATAGTGTTCTGTAGTAAAGACAATATCTGTTACCTAATCATATCCATAAGTCATTTGTAGATCTTTCCTTTTCTCTTCTTTCCGTTGCTTGCTATTATGGTGAGCAGGCTTGTAGTTAAAATTATTCCATCACCCCATAAAAATATAACTTAAAATATTCCACTATAGATTTTCACTTTACTTATTCTCGCTAATAAATACAATCACGCGAAACAAAAACGGTGCATAGAACTTCTCTAAAAAACGGAAGACCCAAAGTATCACTGCTGTACTCAAGCATAATTCTACACTTGTTCAACATGACGGGTCACTTATGCCTATCTATATTTGTGGGTAAGTATTTGAATATTTTGTGGGTTATGAATGTTTGTATGTTAAATATTTTTTTACAGTATAGGGTCTCTGTTCTCTCGGTTTCAGTCACATGTCCAATCCAGCAGTGGAAGTTAAAATGGAAGAGTTCGAAGAGAGTACCCGAAGGACTCAAAGGAATTTGAGATGAAAGATACTGAGTTAGTTTCGCAGTGCGAAATGTAGTTTACACACTTGATGAAAAATATTGTAGCTAATGTGTTTCGAAAACTAACATCCATTCCAAACAGGTTAAAACCATGATAAAATCCTTTGAGGAATAATTCGCAAAAACGATGAAAAAGAAGGCTAAATCGGATAGAAAATTTCATAAATCACCGCAAATTTCCTTTGTTCCACCGCTGACCGCACCTGAAGCCTGAAACGACCTGTGAGACACAGACGGGAAGTTCTGAAGAAGAAGAAGAAAAGAAATCCAAGCCGGTTAGTCTATATGCACAGATCATCACATGTCCACCGACGTGTAGATCAACGTCCACCTACAACTTTAATACTATACCAACTCGCATTCTATGTGGAGTAAAAAAATGACTCCATTCGATTATGTGCGAGACATCAAGCAGCTTTGTTTCACATGCCATAAATATACCTAGGTAGGTTTTTGTCCAAAATCATATATCCGTGTGTGAACATAATATAACCTATTCTTAATCTGATTTTCTTGTACATTCATGTCCTCAGTGACTGGCCAACTGAAACAGCTCTCCATATGTTAGAGGGTGTCTGCCGGTTCGGTCGGTCGTGAAATTGTTCTATTTGAAGATTGGTGCAACAAATAGTTTGTCTTGGTTTATGATTTGCCTTTAGTTCCTTTAGTTAATAGTTATTAAGTTATATAGTTAGGTTTAGAAAAACATAGCTGCGACTGAGTTTACATGTGTCCGTTCTGTAATTGATGGACACTTGTAAACTATGTCGCAGCTACATAAATATCTACATTTTTTAAACGAGGGTTCGTAACAGCAGAGGTTATATCAACCCTCTGGTTGCCGGCGTTTTTGAAAAAAACAAACATTTGTAAGTATGTGGGGTACGAATGCAGGGCCGCTGGATTCGAAATCGGGACCTGTACCTTATAGTGATGAGCGCCGTGTCAACGCCTAAACCGTTGCGGCCACCGACGCTTCTACTACACTAATATCATTAATCAAATTCAATATACATGTGATATAGCGTGTCTCTTCTTCTTTTTTTGTTGGGCCCAACCCTGATTTCGGAAAACCGAAATCAAGGTCCCAGAGGTTTTTTTACGATCGGACCTGAATACGATAATTTAATTTATCGATCAGGCACCTTTTATATTTTATTTAAACCAAAGTAAATTCGACACCAAATGTTTCTTAAATTTGAATCTTTAATTACAATTTAATATTTTCACATAAAATGACAATATATTTAATTAATTATTATTTTTAATTTAAAGAATCCTTTTATACAATAACAAACCTATCTTAAATCTACAAACCTTAATTTTAAAATGTTATTTGATTCTCGGTTGAAAGATTATTATTATTATTATTATTAAAATTTTGACCTTCAAATTAGTAAATACAATTAAAATATTAACAACTTTTAAAATGAAATATTATTTCTTTTACTCTTCTTTATAAAAATATTTATCCTTTCAAAATTAAATTACAATTATTATTTTTTATTTTGACGTCAAAGTAATAAAATTAACTTACTTGAATAGTGTGCACACCAAATTTTTATTTTTTACCAAAAATATCTGTTAACCCACACAAGCCAGAAAGGGATCTGTTCTTGGACTAGAAAAAAATAGCCCTTTCTTGGCCCCTACTCCTATCACTGTTTGAGTGTGTGGAGGGGCAATGGCGGTTCATTTAAATCTGAATGTGACATACATATATTATCATCACATATAATAAAGCACATCAAAGCATATAATATAACATATAAAACAATCATTACATTCCTCAAATCAAACATTTCTACATAGTCTTATTCTTCAACAATTTGTTTTTCCTTTCCCTAATTATCTCCGTCTATATAATCCTGAAAGCATAATCAGGTTGAACATTACCTAATTTTCCCATTGTTGGCTCCTTTCACCTCAAACAAGCGGACTCCTCATATAAAATGGATTTCTATCCCTTCTTCCGTCCCCGCCCCTTCCAAAGCCAACGTATATAAAACATCAATATCTTAGTGGCACTCTCAACACGACACACAATAATGACATATCTATTTATTTATTTATTATAACTCCAACAGAAAGAATCTACAAGAGGAGTAGTCAAAAAAAGGCACATAATAACAAAAAGAACAAATGAACAATTAAGCAATAAGAACAAAAACACAAGGCTTAATGATTCAAGGCAAGTAAACATTTTAATTTAACTTTAACTGAATTCAAGGAATCGCGAAATACATCTATTTCATTGGAATAATTCAGCAATCTCATTATCCTCTGTAGGGGTGAATTTAGTCCATATTCTGGTTTGTAGTGTGGAACAAAGACCAAATTATGTTTCCTAAGTGGTCGCTGAGGCACACATAGCGATAAATGTAACTTGAGGATATCAATGGCCCCATTCCACAATTTCCAACCCCAAATGAGATCGGCAAAAATACAGCGGGAGCTAAGCGACTCAAGACCAAGCCAGTTCAGTCTTTCCAAGTAATTCAGGTGTGCAAGACCAAATCTGAAGGCCATTATCCTGGTTGCTTTCTTCTACATAGAAAACAAACACTTTGAGTGAGTACAAATACTTTGAGTCTAAAATTTCTAGCATTCTGTAAATTCATTGTTTTGACATCATACAAGTATTTGTGTAATTTAAACCATGTTTATAAATCCTAGGCCCTGAAGATGATCTCAATAAAATCGAAACGTTGGCACGATAAAGAAAATGTTTTTCTAAATCTACGTCACACCAGACCGCATCTCACGATCTCTAAATAATAATTTATCATACTGTTAGATAAAAGTATTTGTTTTTAAAATCTAAAATCATTTAAATTCTATATCATCCTACATCATCTTTTTTAAATGAAAAGTTTTTATTCAATTTTTAGTACTTGTGTGGGATTTGGCTAAAATTTTGGTGGCTTTAGTTTAATAATTTAACCGACTTTCAGAAAGGAGACTGGAATAAACGTAGCTAAAAAAGATAAATCTACTGAAAAGGGATTAAGACTTATTGCATAATTGTTGTATATCCAGGCTTTGATGTATTATCGAGCTGGAGAACAACGTCAGTTTAGTCGACCCTTTGTTCCCTATCTATGTAACGGCTTTGTTCACGTTTGAATCAAAGGTAGAACTGTTGTGTGTGCTTTCGGCTGGAATTCATTTGCAAATCGTTTGTAAGCCTATTAAGAGAAGAGTTATGAGAGTCTTAAGACCCGACTTGGTAGGGGGTGAGACGGCTTATGATAGCTTGAGCAGTAACTCCAACTCGGGCCACGTCCCAGAGCCACTCTCCTAATAGCAACATCAAACATGCATGGGCTACATGGCCCGGGCTATTTTCTTTGCCTAAAGCAATAATAATTTCAAGCTTAGTTGAATACACGAAGTTAATAATTTATCGGAAGAAATTGTTCTTCTGTAAGCCGTATGAAAATCGATAATCTAACACAGTCTTTACCTACTTGTTTATTGTGCCTTAGTATGAGTCATATAATAAACTCTGTCATAAATGAATAATTTCAATTCTTTAATGTTTAATTCTTTAAAAAAAAAACAGAAATTAATTTTAGATAAATCACTCACTTGAACCTCCCTCGTAACGATATGACTCGTGTACAAGTTCATGGCAGAAAATTTTCTTACGTTGTCGAACTGAAACAATAACTCCAGACTGTCGCTCTGCTGAGATTCGTTCATCCATCCAACCCATCTGCTCCCTAAAAAAACAAAACAAAAACATTTATAAAAATATTTGGTTTAACAGAATGAAGAACCTTTTCAATCCATTACAATTCGTGGTCCGATTAATATTTTTCAATTAATTAATATTTATTAAAGCTATTGGTTGAGATAAAAAAGTCAGCGTCACGAGCGGGATTCGAACCCACGGCCTTCGGCTAAATACGCCGCTACTCTACCACTTGAGCTATCGTAACTCGGACACTAATTTCCCATCTCAACCTCACCTCTCGAATTTTCCCTCCTTTTTGCCATTTTTCAAATGTCGTGTAATCTATTTGATTCTCGGCGACAAATGAAACGGCGGAGGATAAGATGCGAAGTTAGTGTCCAAGCGGATCGAAGTCACGATAGCTCAAGTGGTAGAATAGCGGCGTATTCAGCAGAAGATCGTGGGTTCGAATCCCACTCGTGACGCTGACTTTTTTATCTCAACCTTATACCTCTCATAAATATTAATTAATTGAAAACCTTTTCAATTTTGACCGCATATTATTTAAAAAACAAATCAGTCTTTTAAAGATGAGCAATACTTAGTAACATAATTACAAAAATATTTTATTGTTTTTAAATATGTAAACATCCATATCTAAGATATTTCTACTATTACATTGTTCTTCTTTTAAATATTTATGTAAATGAACTACAGGAATGTTTTAAAAAAGTAGAGCTTTTAATACTTAATATTTAATAATATAAAAAATTTTTGTGGGACAAAATTTAAAAATTATACAAATAGAATTAGTGAATGAACAAATGAACTGCTCAGCTGCCCCAGACGAACAAAAAGAAAGGAATTATGCCATAAAAATTATTATCACGAAAATCGAAAAAAAAAAAGACAGTGCTGAAACCGATTTTGACGTACAGATTAGAACTAAGGAGTTAAATATTCTAATCCTTCAAATTCAATGCCCTCAGAACTACTGACAATTCTCTACACTCTTCAGGCCATCCTAATATCTAATTATAGAGAAAATATGGAAGAGCACCGATGGTTGATGGTTCTTTTTAGGGTATTACAATATAAAATGAGAAAATTTTAGCTCATTATTAGATGATATCTAGTTTGGTAACACGGTCCTCGAGTGCTAACTTGATAAGAACCCTATATTCAGAAAATGTCTAGTAATATCGCGGCTTGAGGATTCTCATCGAACAATATTCCTCCTAAAACCTACTACTAATAGTACTACAGTCTGTCAAAACCAAAGTCCTAATACCCATTGTCAGCGCTCTCTACTACCGCTCCAACACCACCCATCATATCGACCTTCCACATACACTTAGTTAAAATTTACCCATCATTTTTTCTCTCTCAAACATTCCCCAAAAACTATCCTTTTCCATACCAAGGGCGATTGAAGATGAGATAGGCCATACAAATAAAAAGGATGTAAAGTGTTTATTTGAAGATCGTGAGATGCATTCTGGTGTTATGTAGGTTAGAAAAACGTTTTCTTTATCGCGCCAACTTTCTATCTTTACGAGATATCTGCTAAAATCTAATCCTAACATCTAATCGAAATATATATTTGTGAAATTACGAAGAGCATACGGATGGGAAGACACGAATTGAGTCAGATTTGATTGCTTCATTATAGAACATGACAGACAGTTTCTCACTGAAGATGGCCCAAAGCGGAAACGCGTTTGAATAATTAAAACAAAACAAAACAAAAACGCGAGTGAAGACAGACGCTGTAGTGCCCGTGTGCCGGTTCACCAATTATTTTTAGATTTGTCTATTAGTTAATTCCATCTACAAAAGTGAGAATGGGGTAAAACACATGTAACAGCTATTGTTTAAATGTAGTAATATAATTAATTCTGTCAACATAACTTGAGTCTTCTATCCTTGAACAGAATTCTAATGGGAAAGGGTTTTTCTTTTTAAACACTAGTATAATTCGGGTACCACGGTAGCCCAGCGGTTAGCGTGAGAGACTCTCGGCTCATAGTCGCCGCGGTCGTGGGTTCGATTCCCATCGTCGCCTCTGGCCCTTTTGTCACGATAACCCCTCCCCCCCAATATGAACACACATACCCAATTACACACTAGTATAATTGTATCATAGATACAGTTTGAAAGATTGAAAATAAAGAGTTACGAAAAATTGTTTTATTACAAAGTTGGTGTCTTTTAATGTCCTAAAGTTTATCATATTAGCCAGAAAATGGCTGTCAGAAATTTCTTGGGCGTCAGTGAGAATCGAGCCCACGTCTGAAGAAATTTCTTTGATCTTTTTGGTCTGCAGTGGTAAGCAACGAAGTTCAAAAATTAAGAACATATGTAGTTTTATTTTTATTATTTCGTTTCTTTATTCCGTCGTCATTAAATTTGTTAAAAGTTATATTAGTTCCTTAAATAAGAATTAGTCATTAAGTTAACGAGATATAATAATTTTTTATTGTTTTTGTCGTTATTTATAAAATTGTTTGCTTATTCGAGACTACTTGTGGAGTCAGCGCTACTCTGTTTTGTTAGGTTCTCCTCTTTCGGGTAATAAGTTTTTTTAGTTGTTCCATTGGCTTTTGAAGCCCAACATCCCGTTGGTAATCCTTGAGTGGTAGCATAAAATCCTTGTTTGCACTCTGGAGTAATTCAGCATCATCGATCCCAGTGACCGAGGCACATCTGGATGAAGGCTAATGTTCCCATCATTGAAACGCTCTAGACCTTCACTACACAACTTCCTTCATCAGCAGCCATCGACCTTGTTTATTTGTTCAATATTCCCTCACAAGACTGAATAAGAATTCTTAGGCATTCTCGGAGATATTTTTCGTTGTAAAAAACAACAGAAAAATAGGTTGACGATTATAAATTCAACCATTATGTAAACAAGCAAGGATTTGGACGAATATTACATAATCCATAAGGGCTTTTGTAACTATCTACTTGAAATTTGAAAATGTTATAATGACGACGACTAAAAGAACATTGACTTATTACTGAATGTTATCTTGACAAATCAAATATTATGCTTATTTCAATTAATTAATCTTTATGTAAGGTGATGGTTGAGATAAAATGTCAGCGTCGCGAGTGGGATTCGAAAGCACGACCTTCGGCACACCAACTTCCCACCTCAACTCAACCTTTGGAATTTTCCCTCCTATTTGCCATTTTTCAAATGTCGTGTAATCTATTTGATTCTCGGCGACAAATGAAATGGCCACGGAGAGCTTCACTATCCGAGTGGATCGAAGTCACGATAGCTCAAGAGGTAGAGCACGACGCATTTAGCCGAAGGTCGTGCGTTCGAATCCCACGTGACTTTTTTATCTCCACCAATACCTTACATAAAGATTACGTAATTGAAAGATGTTATTCGGTTAATCGGACCACGAAAGCTAATAGATTTATGCTTATTGTTGTTATAACCTTAGTAACATTTTTTTAATAAGCTTCTCGTCCTTATGGCTCTATTATTCCATATAATCATTAATACATTTTTTTTTGCATGATGGTATGTAAATAAAATTGAAAACAGTGGGGATGGATATACTAAAATGCTCAGAAACGACCAACTGCTTTTGTAATCAAGTCTATATGAAGGAAAACTGTAAGTACAACACAATAACCTATTATATTTATAAATGATTGTAAATACCTAATATTTATAAATTATTGTACTTATTTACCTGTCGAGTGGTCCCTTGTCTCTTGAAGGAAATCGTCCGAACCGTAGAGACTATCGGTCAATTGGCCCAGGCCTCCATGCATAATCCCGTTGTCCAGGAAGCCGTCATAGCTTAGGTCCTCGAGCTCGGAATCTCCCCTAGGTGCAGAATAACCGACAACGCTCTCTGAAATCATAAAAATATAAATTATTAGTAAACCTATATTAAAAAGTTTTGGCTGAACTGTAGAATTAGTAGGGTGGAAGAGGTAAGAAATATAAATAGATAATTTGTGTAAATGATTTTTACTCTAAAATTGAATAAACAAAGGTTTGAGATCATAAGTTCTTTCATCACAAACTCTATGAATCGGATTTGGTAAAAAAAATTGAGAAAGGTTTTCATAGAAGAATCACGTGGGTTGAATGTATCATTCGAAACAAAGAACAAAACGGACATTATCACCAGGTATCCCAGAAGGCAAACAGTGAAAAAGCATTACTGTGTTATCGATGAATGAAGAATTTAGATTGCCAACTAGATAGGATGTGCTAGGGACGACAAAAGGATGTGATTTTGCAGAGAGCACTTCGGAAGTTCAAACGATGTGCTGCGAGAACTAGAATAACCAAACAAAATAGAGTTCACGGAAGACAGATTAATTTAACAAATATTTACCTTACAGACCGTACAAAATAGAATTTAACGAAAGGTCAATTTATGTTTTTCATCAGGCAAAATAATCGCAAAAATATGCAGAATCATAACTACATCTTCCATATATATCTTATCCCCATAATAAATAATAAATATCTTAATAGAATGTTTTATATTTTTGTTATCATAAAATTTATTGTATTTGTTTTTGTTATTCTATATGAATAATCTGATATAAACAACGAAGTTTTGAATCGGTTTTGAGTGTTTTAACCTTAGCGTCAAAGTTTGGTGAATGAGGGTTCAAACCGCAATCCAATATGTCTAATTTGAAATTAGCATGTGAAATTTCCGGGGCAACACCCTGCCAGAATGTATCTGAAACACATTCTCAGCCCTGCGGAACTTAATTACCTTTGTTTTATGCTGTGCGCCAAAATGGCTTCGTACAAATGTTTTGTTTCTCGGTAAAATCTACCATTGGGTTTTTTAAACGATGATTAGATTGTTTCGGCTATTCCCTGGATGATAAAATACTTCATTCCATTTTCCAAATATAAACTGACAGCTGGTAAGAAACAAAAAACAAAAACAAAAACGAAATAAACTAAAATATACGTCATGGATATGATGAAATTCAATAATGTTAACTTTGTATCAACTGTGTTCGTACTGTTTCGCCACTTCACTTATACGAATCGTTGCTTTATTTTTTCTTTAAGAAATGGAAATATGATCGAATGACCAGACAAGCACATATGTAATTAAGCTTTATTGCAAAAAAAATGAACTATGAAGTTTAATAATTTAACAACAAAGAAGGATGAAGAAAATAGAGACAGAGAGAAACAAGGAAACACGTAAGATATTAGATGAAAAAGAGAAATGAAATTTGTTATCAAAAGCGACAAAAACTGAAATAAGAGATCTCAAAAGAGATATTGCGAATTAAAAGGAAGAAAACCGAATTATTTTTTTATTACATTTATTTGGTATTTATTACTACAAGTGATATATTAAGTAAGTATGTTCGTATTTGTTGAATTATCATTTGAGGTTCTTGTAGGAGAAGTTGCCCAATGGTAACACTCCTTCACACTGACATCTTGTTCAGTCTTCACACAATGAGAAGGTCTCGGGGCCACTTTCGCTTCAATCGTCTTAGAGGATTTTCAGGTAGGGTTGGAAGTGATAAATGTCGTACGAATGGATTACTGTGTGTGTTTATTGATGGATGAAATTTTTTATATCGGGTTTTGATGACTTCTTTATGGATAGTGTAATTTGAAACGCACTAAAAATTTTTTTAGCACAAAATGACCTAATCTATAGCTTTAAATAATTTCATGTAAATGTAATTAATGATAAATTTTTCCCTAATCTTGTAGTCAGTTTATTGAAGGAATCGAGACCAATCAAAAAGCTTATTTGTTCGAAACTATCGAACAAACATTGGATATTTGGTCATATTTTCCATTTTCAGTATTGTATTTACCCAGTTGTAAATAAAGAAACCCGATATCTTAAAAATCGTTTTACCGCAGGAAAAAGGCCCATGAGCCGTATAGATGAACAATACTGTGAAACCCGCGAACGGTCGTATTAGATTTGTTCTCATTGAATTAGCGGGCGATTTGGCTGAGAGCGACGAGCACAAAGCTCGACTTGATTAATAGGCGGCTAAACGGAGCCTGGTAACGATGAGCTTTTGTGCTAAGCCCTTTGTTCACGTGAGTTCGCACTCAGGTGCTTTCTTTGCTATGCTTCGGCCTCCTTGGCCTCTTTGTCAAGAGCATTCATGTGGTTGCGTTATACCGGAATTGCGACCGTGTATCTCAACGCCTTATCTTTCATGAAGATAAAAGGGTTAGCTGAGCGCAAACGCTACCCGGATTGTAGCAAAAGCGTTATACTACCGCATGAATGCTAAGTGCATGAAAAAGGCCAAATTGAAATGGAGATATTTTATATTATAATTTTTGGCGTGTTTTGTAAAAAGTATAAGATTTGTTAATGCCCTCTTTTTGGGACATTTCACATTAAATAATAATAATATTAATAGGGCCGGACTTTACGCCGATTTTAGTCTGGTCTTTACAGACGGGTCCAAGATTGCGATGGTGTGGCATGTGCCGTGTGTAGCGAGGGTGTGGCCACAGTCGCTGCCTCCTCATCGCAGCGTATACCCGGCGGAGCTATATGCGATTTAACATGCTCTCGGGGCAATACGGACCGAGGAGAGTTCACCCCTCGTCGTATACCGACTCTCGGAGCTATAAAACACAGGTATTCTGTGGTAACTCTCGTCGAACTTGAGCGCATCGGAAAAACGGTGGGTGTTGTCTGGGTTTCCGGACTCAATTATTTCCAGTGCTGTGATTCTTGCATGCCTTGTATCCTAAGAAAGCATCACTTTTGTTACGAAATAGAATGGAAGGTTAATTGTGTGAACAAACACCGAATCAGTTGCTGTTTCTAAACACACAAGAAAGTTTCGACAATCAGAGTGCAACATAAATAATTTTAACATTTGAAGAAACGTTCAGTATAACCTCAAACCTCTGATAGCCCAAACCCGACAGCCGTAATACATCACCGCTCGAGAGACAGCATTAAACACACTAAATTTTCCTATAATAAGGATATATTATTTTGCAATAATACGGACCAGGTTTTGTTTATAGCAAATTCAACTGCTAATGTCTTCCTTGATAAATGTATCTACCAAGAAAGTTGGGGTAAATATTATGCCTAAATATTTGTGTTCTTTTACCACCTCTATACATTCACCCCTGACGTACAAACAGTCTGACGCGCTAAGCCATTTTAAACACAATAATTTTTCATTTTTGTAAATTAATGATTATATGGAGATAGTGAGATGCGATCTGGTGTGACGTAAGTTTTAGAAAAATATTTTCTTTTTTGTGCCAACGTTTCGATCTTTATTGAGATCATTTTCAGGGCTCAAGGTGTTTATTTTCTTCGTGCTGTCATTCTTGTGTAGGGAACTCTCCACACGACAGACAAGAATGACACATCTACACGGAAAACAAACACTTTGAGACCTGAAGATGATCTCAATAATGATTGAAATTTTGCCAGGATAAAGAAAATGTTTTTTATAAAACCTACGTCACACCAGATCGCATCTGACTATTTCCTTATATTCATTAACTAACGGTCACTCTATACGACACATTTGTAAATTACCATTTTATTCCATTGTTCACAATAGGCGTAAAACAATTTAATATTTTTCTTAAGCTCCGAAGAAATCTCTGCTAAAATAACTATGGCATCGGCATACATTACTATTTTAATATCACGCGAATTGTACATTCAAGAATCTGGGGAAGGTCATTTAAAACCAGCACGAATAATTGTGGGCTTAGCACGGACCCTTGTCGCACATCAGACTGAACCATAAAACCTCGGACACTCCATTTGGCCTTGCAAACAGGGAGAGGCTCCCAACTACAAATTTATTGATATTCACTCCTTCAAAAGAAAGAGAAAAAAACGGTATGTGTTTTGCTCAAATTTAGCTATTCTCGGACTTATTTGATTCGACAGAACAAATGAATTGTCACAATTGACAAGCTTTTTCTAAACCCTATTTCGTTTACATTTAGTAAACCATTAATTCTAACAAAGCTTTCTTATCTGTTAAGTAGAAAACCAGAAAAAAAATCTTAGCTCCACTTTCAAGACAAGAAATACCTCTGTGTAAGAAAGAGTTGTCCGGTGCCGTGCTTAAACAGTGCGAAGATAATCGATCGACCGAATGGCAAATAATTCCAGTTCACATATTGGATTACTTATTACCGTATAGATCATTTATGCCATCTCGTATACATTGTTCATGGCAAGGTTTTTAATAGAGCTTGCATAAAATTTGTGTCATTGTACTGTCGGACAAGTGTTAAAGCGGGGACAGCGAGAATTGTATGGAAGAGAGAAAAAATCAAAAAGCAAGCTACTTGCACCCTGGTTTATAATTGCAAAGTCCCCTTTAACAAGGCTAATTTATTCTACTGGTCTTGTATTATTTAATCCTGGGACGCCCTTCTCCGTAATACCTTTCCCAGGGTTAGCTGAAAAAAAGAGCTTTGGGAAACACGTCCTCTCGGCACTTTATAAAATATTCAAATGTATAGCGGAAATAAAACATATACTTCCGTAGACACGGATTAACCAAACCGAATTATAGTACGAAGGCCGAGAGGAGAAACCAGATAAAAGCTTTGCCCACGGCACAATAGTAATGTTTACATTTATTCATGGTGTATGATATGGCAGCCGTAAATACGATGCAAATGGTTTATGTAAATTCATACCGAAAAGGGACTGCCAGGTACAATGCAGCTTATGCAACACCCCAACTTGCTAATTTCCGATATACATTTGTAATATTTTTAAAAGTCGTTTTAACTGCTTAGGCCAGTTTACGCACTCAAAGCAAAATATCCCCACAGATTGAGCATAAAAGCATAACACAAAATTGTACTCACACTTATTCTAGTTGA